GAAGAATTTCGCTATGAGAAAATAAGAATTACAACTTCCCTCGATCTACCAAGGAGAAAACAATGATAATTCTCTCTTGATAAAAAAGAGAAAACAACTCTCAAGAAACTCTCTAAATTCTCTCTAGTATTGGAAGAAAGCTAGAATGCTTTGGGATGATTTTGAAGCTAAATGAGCTAGGGTATTTATAGTTGAAGCTTAAGTACTAATTTGTAAATACTCTAAATTATAATGGCTAAAATTGAGGTTCTACCATTGTTGAAAAATCAACAATTGTGTACTGCTTTTTGACAATTGTATTCGGTGGATTAATTAAATCCAACTTTCCACCGAAAGTTGGTTTAATTTTCAACAATCTCCCACTTGAAGATTTGATTGAAACAATCATATCTTCACACCATTCTTTCTACCTTGTACCATCATGTTTCTTACGTTTCTGACAGGCCACAAAAGGATCGACACCAAGTAAATTTATCGGTATTGATCGCCTTCGTCATGAAATCTGCTATGTTGTCTTTGGTATATAGCTTCTGTATATCTACCGTCCATTCTTCCACCTTTTCACGAATGAAATGGTACTGAACTCGTATGTGTTTTGTCCTTGAATGAAATACTGGATTCCTTGCTAGATGCAAGGTGCTTTGACTGTTACAAAATATAGAGGCATACTCTTGATTATGCCCAAGCTCCTCTAATAGCATCTTCAACCAAATTGCTTCTTTACTGGCTTGTGTAGCTGCTACATATTCTGCTTCTGTTGTGGATGTAGCCACAACTGATTGCAATTTTGAAACCCAGCTTACAGCTCCACCAGCAACTTTAAACACATATCATGTAGTAGATTTACTTTTATCCAAATCCCCAGTCAGAATCAACATGCCCATTGATAAGTAAATTTGATCCTCCGTAACATAATGTAACATTTGAGGTCCCTTTGATGTATCTCAGGATCCTCTTTACTGTATTCCAATGCTCTTTGCCCGGATTAGCCATGTACCACTGCTTGTGCAATGTCTGGTCTTGTGCATATCATAGCGAACATTAAACTTCCCACTGCTGATGCATATGGTACTCGAGACATCTCCATCCTCTCTTCTTCACTGCTATGACTCATACTGGAAGATAATTTGAAGTTAATAGGAAGAGGGGTAGAAATTGGCTTATAATCTTACATGTTGAATCGTGACAAGATCTTCTTCAAGTAATTCTTTTGTGAAAGCGAAATCTTCCTATTACTTCCATCTCGGTGAATTTGCATCCCTAGAATCTTGTTTGCTGATCCCAAGTCATTCATTTCAAATTCCCTAGCCAGTTGTTCCTTCAATTATTCAATATGATCTTTGTTGGGTCGTACAACCAACATGTCATCCACATACAACAACAATATAACAAAATCGTTATCACCAGACCTCTTGAAATAAGCACAAGAGTCTGCATTAAGTCTGTTGTATCCAAGGCAAATAATGAAGGAATCAAATCTCTTATACCAACACCTCGGCGCCTGCTTTAGACCATACAAATATTTGTTCAACCTGCAAACCAAGTTCTTCTTTTCTTTTTCTTCAAAACCTTCAGGCTGGAGTATATAAATCTCTTCTTCAAGATTTCCATAAAAAAAACATTTTAACATCTAGCTGCTCTAGATGTAAGTTTAATGTAGCACACATTGCCAAGACTAGTCGAACTGTTGTTAGTTGAACCACAGGAGAAAAAATTTCATTGAAATCAATACCTTCTTTTTTAGCATATCCTTTGACCACCAGTCTTGCACGATACCTCTCCACTTGATCGTCACCATTTCGCTTGATTTTGAAGACCCATTTGTTACCAATTGACTTCCTTCCTTGTGGTAGTGGCACAAGGTCCCATGTATTATTTTTATGAAGGGCTTCGATTTCTTCTTGCATCGCCATCATCCACAGTGAAGCATCTGAGCTGTTTATTGCCTCTTGGTATGTTGATGGCTCACCGTCCTCTGTTAAAAGGCAATATGCAACATTTCCTTCAATAACATAATCTGAGTTCCAATTGGGACGTCTTCTCACAAGATCTGATTGACGAGTTGTTAGAGCTTCAGAACTCTCTAGTTTTTGTTCATCATGTACTGGTTCTGCTTCAGAATAATCTCCTTGTTCAACCTTTTTTTCCACATGTATCTGTGTAGTCTCTGACTTTTCAGCGCTATCATCATCTTTTTTTCTTTGTAGCTTATCTTCTATAAAGATAACATCCCTGTTGATGACTACTTTGTGGGCAGTGGGATCCCACAAGCGATACCCCTTGACTCCATCAGCATACCCCAAAAATTTGTATTTCCTGGATTTTGGATCCAGCTTTGAGATTTCTTGGGAGTTGTACATCACGTACACAATACTCTCAAATATATGGAGGTTTGAATAATCAGTTGGTTTACTATGTCTTCAACTCTATTGCAGTTGATGGAGCTCGATTCACCAAATAACAGGCGGTATTGACTGCTTCTGCCCAGAATGATTTTCTAGGCCTGCATCCCTTAACATTGCTCTTGTTCTTTCTAACAAGGTTCTGTTCATCCGCTCTACAACTCCATTTCGTTGAGGAGTGTTCGATACTGTGAACTGTCTTTTAATGTATTCTTTCCTGCAAAAGTCATCAAATTCTTCGTTTGTGTATTCTCCTCCATTATCTGTTCTGAAACACTTGATCTTATTTCCATAATCAAGTTCTACCCGCGCTTTGAAGTTTTTGAAAGTTGAAAACACATCTGACTTCTTCTTAATAGGGTACACCCAGCATCTCCTAGAGTAGTCATCAATAAATGAGACAAAATATTTTGCTCCACCTAGGGATGTAACTGGTGCTTGCCATACGTCAGAGTGAACCAACTCTAGAACACGTTTTCCTCTAGAATTTGATTTGTTGAATTTCAACCGGTGCTGCTTACTTGTTATGCAATGGCCACACAAAGGAAGTGTTACCTTTGTTAAGCCTGGAAGTAGGTTTTACTCCATAAGGACTTTCATTCCTTGTTCTGATTCTGACATGTGTCCAAGTTTCTGATGCCATAGCATTGTCGAATCTGAACTACATGAGGCAACAGAGGCTTATGCTTCTACCAAAGTCTCTCCCTTCAGTATGTACAAGTTTGTTGCTATCTTTTCACCTTTCAGCACCACAAGCGCTCCACGGAACACCTTCATGATTCCTTTCCGTGTTGCAATCTTGCTTGCATTATTATCCAATAATCCGTAGGATAATAAATTTTTCTTCAGGCCTTTCACGTGCCGCACATCTCGAACAACTATAATTGTTCCATCATACATCTTCAATTTGATGGTTCACACGCCAATGATCTCTAAGGCATGATCATTGCAACTATACACAGATCCTCCTGAGACAGGTTCATAATGATGGAACCATTCTGTTCTTGAGGTCATGTGATATGTTGCTCCCGAATCGATGAGCCATATATCTGCAAATCTTTTTCTGCCTTCCACGGTGGTTGACGCTTCACAACATAGATCATCTCTATCATCTGAAGTGTTTGCGGTATTGCCTTGTGTGTTGGAGTTTTTATTTATACTCCAACAATCCTTCTTCAAGTGACCCTTCTTTCCACAATTGTAGCACTTTAAATTCTTCTTGCTCCTCGACTTCGATCTACCATGTTTGTGACTGCTACTTTGGCCACGTTCTATTGATCTCCCTCTCATCGTTGTCAATGCTTCTGCTTGTTGCAGATTTACTTGTCTATCTTCCTTGTTCTTGCGTCGATTTTCTTATTGTAGAACAGCAGCTGTAACGTCATCGAAGACTAGACTAGTGACATTACTATTTGTCAAGTTGATGATGAGTTGATCATACGAATCCGGTAGACTTTGAAGTAGAAGTTCAGCACGTTCTTGTTCTCCTATTTTACAGCTTAAGGATGTAAGCTGAGAAAATAAGGTATTCAGTGTATTTAAGTGCTTCGTCACTGAAGTAGATTCTGCATACGGAAAGTGTACAATTTTCTCTTAAGGAAAATTTTATTGTGCATCGATGTGGTCTCGTACAATTCGGTGAGATGATCCCATATCTCCTTAGTTGTCTTATTCTCCTCGATGCTTGACAATATTTTTATCTGTTAATGCTAGATGAAAGTTTGCCATAGCATTCCCGTCCATTTCGATCAATTTGTTTTCATCTGTGAAATCCACCGGCCTTTCACTGATAGCTGGTAGACAACCGTCTTTCCTCAGGATGGCCTTCATCTTCAATTTTCACAATAAGAAATTTCTCCCATTGAATTTTTCAATATCAAATTTCGTTGCCATAGCTTCTTTTACGGATAACTCCCACTATTTCACTATCGTGAATAGTTCTCTAGAACATTCAAAGAATGGGTAATAACTTCTTACTTTCTTATGTTGGAGGATCCACCTTTTGGTGGCAACCACAAAGACAATAAGCAGATATTACATACTCTAATCTGACTCTGATACCAATTGTTACGGAAGACGGCTATCGGATAGAGCAAAAATGCAATAATTTAAGAAAATAAAAATTGAAGATAAAAGAGACACAAAATTTACGTGGAAAACCCTTAAATAATATAGGGTAAAAACCACGGGCAACGGTAGAAGAATTTCACTATGAGAAACTAGTAATTACAACTTTTCTCGATTTACCAAAGAGAAAACAATGATAATTCTCTCTTGATAAAAAAGAGAAAACAACTCTCAAGAAACTCTCTAAATTCTCTCTAGTATTGGAAGAAAGCTAGAATGCTTTGGGATGATTTTGAAGCTAAATGAGCTAGGGTATTTATAGTTAAAGCTTAAGGACTAATTTATAAATACCCTAAATTATAATGACTAAAATTGAGGTTCTACCATTATTGAAAAATCAACAATTGTGTACTGCTTTTTGACAATTGTAATCGGTGGATTAATTAAATCCAACTTTCCACCGAAAGTTGGTTTAATTTTCAACATGAACTACTACCGATGCCACTCTTCAGCAAAATGCACCGATTCCTACTAGCCGATTTCTTCGAGCTTCGCCAGCACTTGTCTGATATTCGGTCTAAGACAAGGAGAATGAGAACAACAAGCCATGGCAAGCTGAAAGAACTTAAAAATAGATTCTTCAGTAACTTGATTTCCCTGATCATAATTGTTACTCATAAGTAGGTCCGGATGGTACAGATCGCTGATTCTATGACCAAGAACAGCGTTCTGCATGAAGTTCGGCAGATAAAAATCCTCATCCGGGGTAGGCTTTTCGTTCATCAGTTCCTTCCCCGAAAGTTGTTCGAGAAAGATCACCCTGAGACTATATATATCAGTCTCGGGACTTGCACCCCTCATTTTGATGAGCTCAGGAGCTTTATGGCCATCGGCTGCTGAAGCTTCAAGTACTTCTTGACCAGAAGTAGGATTCAAGAGTAAGTATATACCGAAATTGGAGAGATACGGCTGGTAATTTCGATCCAAAAGCACGTTCTTAGACTTAAGATTTCCATGGATTATTGGCTTTTGCAACCCTGTATGTAGGTGATCTAATCCTCTCACCATGCCAATGGAAATCTTGTAAATTACTGACCATCTATGGGACTCCATATTACCATCTGCACAAACAAACAGTCCAACTTCAAAATCTTAAACATTCAAACTCATCAAACATAAACAACATGAACCTTACCTTTGATTAACTGAGCCAAATTGCCCTGCCAATAAAAAGGATGAACAAGAAGCTTCTCTCCTCTAGGTCCAGCATAAAATCCTAACAGAGGCACCATATTGGGATGTCTAATGCACCCCAACAGCCGAACCACATCGAAGAACTCTTCAGCTCTCAAGGCACACACCGGCCTCAAGAACCGAAGCAATCTGACCGAGCTGCTCCTCTGGAACAAGGCCTTATATAAGGTCCCATAGCTGGACTTGCCGATCACTTCACCGGGAGCATCCAGAATGTCGCAAACGGTGAGGTCTTCCCCGCCGATGAAAGTGAAGATATCCTCCATTTCTGACTCATCATATTTCTTCTCTTTGCTTTCTATGTCGCCCAGCTGGTCATCTCTCGCTGCCATCTTTCGGCAAAAGAAGATGACAAGTACGAGAATGAACATGAAAGCTATTGAAGATAACGAAACAATGAGTCCTAACATGTTGGTGTTTTTTGCTTCACGAAAATTGTCGGTTCTTTTTATGGTTTCTATCTTCATTTTATTTTGAAATACAAAAAATCTCATAAATGTTTTCAATATGTAAAAGATATAAACATGAAAAAAAAATAAGGTCTTTTATTCTAATTTTTCAATGCTTATCGAGTAGTTTTAGAGATAAAAAATATTATTTTTTTTCTAGAAGTTTTGGGTTTGAATAGTCGCGCAAACAAGATGTGTGCTATCAATAGGTTAATAAAATTCTGAGTAGACAATATCTTATAATCATCCTAGATTATTCAAAAAAATTATATATTTATTATAACTTTTTACTTTTAAAAATGAACAAGGATAAGAAGAATAAACGTGTGTTGCAAAATTCTAAATTTTGGAAACATATTTTTTTTCTTTACATTTTCTTCATAAAATCAATCCTAGAATGATTTTATGCCACTGGTGGTCCATCTACTATCATGGGGATGCGCAATTATTGACATCCCTGACGAATAGAGTTGTAAACTAGTCACGTCATTAATTCCATTCAGTTGAAGTCATCAATTAATTAAAGTTAATTATATGTATATATATAAGTTTAATTAATATAAAAATTTTATATTGAGTAATGTTGAATAATAAAAAGTATTTTAATTTTGTTTAAGTAAATTTTAAGTTTTGTCCCCGAACGTCAATAAAAACAAAAGATGATAATTATAGTTTGATTGCCTTGTGAGTCACTTTAATCAAAATTTGCACTCTAAGCATTAGAGTGTATAATTCATCAGCAGCATATCAATGATTAGAAAAGCAATAAATCTATTCACTCTTTTGATGGTTTTACAATTAATGTAATTACACTTCAATGATAATTATCATCTACAAGTTAATTATTTTAATCTTTAAGTATTTATTATCATCCATAGTTCATGAAGAAATTATAATTGATATATATATATATATATATATATATATATATATATATATATATATATACACATTTTGATATTTGTCTGATGAACAGCACAATCTCACATGAACTCTCATTTTAAATAAAAGGAGGGAAAGAAAGGGAATTTAGCTGTTTAAATTTCAATTTTTGGAATGTGGAAATGTCACATGCAAATTGGAAAATCCAAAGTTTATAATTAGATTTGAAGACTAGATGGAATATATATTACTTCGTTGTTTCTGAATTTAATATTAGATTAAAGTCAGTGTATTCATATAATGTGATTTGATTGAAAATGAAAATAGATTGGTTTAATAGTACTTAAGGCCCTCAAAATTTAAATAAAAAACAATGTGATCCCTTAATTTATTTTGTATTGCGGCCCTTAAACTTACTTTTGTCAACAATTAAATAACTTCTGAGCTTGTGTAATGGTTAAACGTTGGAAAATACAGGATTTATTATGAAGTAAAATTCAGAGTATAATGTACAGTGGTGGTTCACATTTATACATAACTATACCATTTCCTTGTAACATGACAGCTTTAGGAATAAGTGTGTATATGATCAATAACTAAACTCAACTTTGTAAAATACAAAACGGTGTTGGTAGAAAGAGAACTACTCTACTCCTTTGATGATGAAACCATGTTTCCTTTGTACCCTAAAACTTCGGGACCAGACGCGAATAAGCAAATAAGGCCTCTAAATACTTGCGCTGAAAGCTTATGTGCTTGAAAAAGCTCCCCATCCAGATTCCATACACTCTCGTTGACGATCGAAGTGAACGTAAATGCCGGGGTCCGGAAATAACATATAAAATGGGTTCAATAACTTCCGGGGACTGGGAAGATAAGATACGACAAGAAGATATACCTTATGATGTTCCACGAAGTCAAAATTTAGGGGGTTTCCGCCTTTCTTCGCTAGTTGCGTAAGGTGCCTGTATATATTGATCAAGATCCATTACTGAAAATGGTTTTCTCAAGGATGAAGAACTATGCAGAAACAATACGAAAAAAAGATCTCGAATCGAAAGAAGAGTGAATGTGCCATATTACCAGAGATATAATGCATGAGGGCAGTCTTTAATTAATAGAAGATGAAGGAATCCATCTGAAAGGTGTGCATCAGCCACCAAACCATCAGGTGCGCTTTCATTTCGGTTTGACATAATGGCAGCTCCAACGCTAAGAAAACGCCCTTTAGATTTCAACCATTTTGTTTCTTGTGCACTTGAATAAGGTGTTGCAGGCGTGCTCTTTGCGGAAGAATAAACTGGCTTTGTATTACACACATTGCAATTGGCTCGACAAATAATTCTTTCAGAATTTTTTCGTTTCAAGCTCCGTGCTTTGCTAAGCATCCTACTTCCATCTGATATTGAACTATCTTTTTCAGATTCAACTTCCAGGTATCCTACTTCGACTTAATATGACCTTCATGAAGAAAAAAGGTTAACACGACTTAGCACGATCAGCTAACTATCGAATAGTAATGATGCATTCTACAGAGACATGCCCTAGGGAAGGGAAACCTCAATCATTCTGAACTGCAGACTTAACTGCAGCTTTTCTGTAACTATAAATTGAATGACATTGCTACCAAAACATTATTTATCCACGAACTCATTAAGTTTATATGACGAGAAATATACCTGTGTTTCAAAAACACTTTGGTTCCCGCATAATCATAACGTTTTGGGCCCATCCAGCGGTAATTTTCACTCTCCGTTATGACATCTCCATAAAATCCATACCTGATAAATTTCACTGATGAGTTGCAAAGTGACAATGTGGACAACTGTTTGGGTGACAAAAGAACATGAGCACACTAAACGCCTTTCAATTAGCAAATATGCACGCATTCGATAACATTCGAGACGGGATATTTATTTGCTAACACTCACACAGGTCCATGGCATTAGTTATAATAAAAAACTACCCAGCAAAAGAATCCGCGTAGCGTACACGAGGTTCGATCTTCGAGATAGATGTAGTTTTCCATCTTACAACTTGAGCAACATCAAGGCACTCAAAGCTGTTCTACTGGTGGGTAAGGAAACTGGTGGTTTATATGAAGTTGTGATGCAGGGGGATCCGAGACAGATGATGTTGAGCTGTCAGATTGCACGTTGATGGCGCTGAGATACCATGAGTTGGCAGATCAGCGCAAAGGCGGGAATTGATTGTGACATGTTCCTCATTGGGGTTGTTTTGAGTATGTTTCAGTCTTTTGGTCATAACTTTGGCTACAGGTGTCAGAATCGCGCATAAGACTCCAATCCGGAAAGCTCTTTTCGACGCGCACGCTCTCCACATGAGCAATGCTCCATGTGGCCTTTTTTTCAACCTCAAATTCTGCCGTTTTCCCCTCCGAATCACTAGATTTAGTTATTTTTTACTATTTATAGTAATATTTCGATTGTTAATTAGGAAGTCAATTTAAATCCGATTTAGGCTGGATTTTTGGGAGATTGCTTATTTTATTTCGAATTTCAATTTAGAGTGATTTTCGGGATTTTGCTATTTTTGGCAAAATTCGAATAAAGACGATTTTTTTGCTATAACAGTCCGGCTTGTGGACTGCTTTTTGGCATTGTTTGATTTTATAATATTTTATTAAACCCTAGAGACTTTTTTTCTCTGGTTTTTGGGCGAATTTTCTCTTGTGAATCGTCTGTCGGAACTAGCCTACAGGATAATCACTATTCTGTCTGGCGTCAGTTGGTATCAGAGCTTCAACATCTTCTTGAGAAATTTCACCAGTTTCAATGGCTGGAGGTCGTGGTCGTGGTCGTCGTGAGCAGGTTCCAAATGAGGAAGCCCAACGCCGTGATCGCAGCGTTCAGGATGTGATGATTGCGGATTTACAGAGGCAAGTCGCAGAATTAACCCAGCGCCTGGCGGCGCAGGATTTCGAGGATCGTGAGGCCTCTGATCACGATACCAATTCCACTTTCGAAAACCCATAACACAATCGCGCAGGATTCCGGGGCACAGGATTCCGGGAGCACCGTGGTCGGGAGGAGCGTCATGGAGACCTCGGTTTTCGGGTCGATCTCCCTGAGTTTTCTGGTACATTACAGGCCGAGGGATTCGTGGATTGGATTAATGAAGTGGAGCGTATTTTTGAATATAAGGAAGTCCCCGATCGTGTGAAAGTGAAACTGATCGCCATCAAACTCAAGGGCAGAGCATCTGCGTGGTGGGAACAGTTACGACGTTCACGAGAAAGACAGGGCAAAGCCAAGATCACTAATTGGGAGAAGATGAAAAAGAAGATGAAGGGCCACTTCCTTCCCTTCGGCTACACACAAACCTTATTTCAGCGACTTCATGCGTTGAGGCAGGGCGCGCGATCAGTCGATGATTACACGGAGGAGTTTTACCAATTGGTCGCCCGGAACGATTTATCTGAGACGGAGGAGCAGATGGTGGCGCGATATTTGGGGGGTTTACGCCAGCCCTTGCAAGATGTCCTCAGCCTTCATTCATTGTGGAGTGTTTCGGAAGCATACCAGCGTGCACTTGTTGTTGAAAAACAGCAAAACAGGAGACCAGTGATCAGGAGCGATCACAACAGTCGACCAGTTCGCCCTCAAGAGTCCCGTCCTGCTCAGCAGCCACCGCAGGGTAATTCTAACCCTACTATTAGATGTTTTCGTTGTGGTGAACAAGGGCATAGGGCGACTGATTGCAGGAAGCCTGCTAGTCAAAAGGGCAAAAATTTGTTGATTGAGGAAAACGTGGAAGACGAGACTGAGGAGATTGGCGAACCCGTGTATGACGATGATGAGACTGATGATGTGCTGTATGGAGATGGTCATGAGACTCTGGTCGTTCGCAAGAGTCTACTTACCCCCAAGGGCGATTCAGGGGACGATTGGTTGAGAACCAATATTTTCCACACGACTTGCACAGTTGCAGATAAAGTCTGCAAAATGATCATTGACAGCGGCAGTTGTGAGAATGTAGTGTCCGAGGAGGTTGTCCAGAAATTGCAGTTGAAGACAAACCGTCATCTTAAGCCATACAAGTTGTCATGGCTAAATAAAGACAGTGAGGTAACAGTTGATAGGCGATGC